AAGACACCACTGCACTATGCCATAGATAATATATATTCTGAAAGCGGCTTGAGAGTTATTCAATGCCTTCTTGCTACAGGATGAGCAGACCCATTGGCAAGAGATTGCAATGGCAACACTCCTTTGTCAATTGCCGGAAAAAGCAGAAACAAGAAACCAATCATGATGTTTTTTGATAATTTTGCTAAAACCAAATCATTGTATCCTGTTGATTCATATGTAAATGTTCTTATTCTTGGGAACAGTGGAGCAGGAAAAACAACACTTAGCAAGGTCATTGAAGAAACTGCTCGTGGTTCATTTGCAATGGGAAGATTCAGAGACATTGACCTTAAAGATGTAAAATTACTTACTGCTGGCATTGTTCCCACTAAGTTAGAGCATAAACAACTACAAAATATCATTCTTCATGACTTCGCTGGTCAATCTGAATACTACGCAAGCCATACTGCTGTTATTGAGAATCTTCTGCAAGGATCAGCTGCTGTTATAGTCATAGTAGTGGATGTATCAAAAAAAGAGTTTTTAACACAGCTAAAGCAATGGCTAACAGTTGTTAGAAATGAAACACAAAAGGCCATTAATGACTGCAGAGTGATTGTAGTTGCAAGCCACATCGATTCTTTAAAAGATACAGATTTAGAAGAGAAGAAGACAAGAATGGAACAAGAGCTACAAGGTTACTGTTGCATAGAATGTTTAGATTGCCGCAAGCTTGGTGGTGATGGCTTAGATTCATTTTTTTCTACATTGCAAAGTGCTTGCAGCTACATTCGAGAAAAAGACAGAAGATGCTTAACGCTGTACTGCCACATGATGTATAATTTACTTCAAGAGAGTGAAAAGAAAGTCCTAACCCTCCAGGACATAGCTTTGGAAGCAATAGAAAAAGGAGACCGCTTCTTCCTTCCAATAGACAATGGCAAAGAAATCCTTAAAATTTTGACTTCATTGCATTCGACAGGTTTAATTTATTATCTTAACTGTGAACTTGATGACAAGGAAGTATGGATTGCTGACTCTACACATGTAAAAATTTTATCTGCAAAAATATGGGTAGTCAAAAACAAGCAACTGTTTTTAAAAGATGTCAATGGAACACTGTTTGCTCCAGAAATATTTTCTGAACACCGTGATATTGCCCAAAATGGAGTCATTCCTGTTTCGTCCTTAACTAAATGCTTTCCTGACTATAACCCAATTATGATAATTAGCTTCCTGGAGAGAATGGGATTGTGCCATATGTTACCACCATTATTTTTAATGCAGACAAATCTTGTGAAAAAAGATCAGCCTAGCTTAAAAGACATTTTCTGCCTGTTTTTTCCATCACTTGTTGACATTGAAAGACCAAAAGATTTGGGTGAATTTCAATTTGGATGGTTTTTGCAGTGTAAAGAGGAGCATCAGTTCTTCCCACAACGTTTTTTTCATTTACTTTTGCTCAGTCTTGCTACTACTTACGCAGTTAAGGAAGCTTGTCCTATGGCTAAAAATGAATTGCAGTGTACATTTTGGAAAGATGGAATAGAATGGTCTGATAAAAATGGTGTTTCAACATTGGTAGAACTTGTTGATCAAAAACAATGTCTTCTAGTTTTGATGCAATATTGTGGAAATGATCTCTCCAAATGTTCAATGGTTTCCTTACGAAGGGAATTGATCAAGCTTATTATGACTGTTTGTCAAAATTCATGCCTTAACTTGAAAGTAGAAGCATTTGTTATTGATCCCAATTGTTTGCACTACCCCATTGACAAACCAAAAGAAAGAACAGTATATTTTGTAAAAAATATCAAAAATACAAAGAAGGA